GGAGAGGGGAGGGGGATGAGAGGGAAGGGAAGGGAGGGGAGGAGAGGAGAGGCAGGGGAGGAGAGGCAGGGGAGGGGAGGAGAAGAGAGGGAAGGGAAGGGGAGGACTTATTTGCATGTGTACTCCTTATATCTGATCAACGGCTACAGTCGTTTTAGAAGCAAATTTTTCTGCACGTCTCATTTCTAACAGTACGCGCACTTCTTTTGTTTAAATATTATGCAATTAATAGCAATAATATGTTCAACACGGTGACTTTAACGCCACCTAGTGGTTAGCAATGCAAATGATTCAGAGTTAAAATTGCAATATTGTGGCCCAGAATCCTGCGACTTAATTAATTTATCCAACTCACAAATTAATTACCTGGTAATTTCACTCAGTGAAATCAATAGACTTAAGTCACACTGAAATATAGAATAAATATCAATAGCACATACTCGAATATACTCAAAAATCACTACAAATGTGATACCTCTAGTCTAGTGACCATATCAAATATATATACTGTGTGCAAACACAGGCGTACACCTTTAGAACATTATAGATAACGCTCTACTTCTTAGCTGGAGTGCAGGAAGTATAGATCACCAGATTCCATACACATACAACTGTTGGTTAAAGGATTACACTTTGCCAGGTTCAGCATGGTCGATTTATGCGGCATATCAGTTTTTGCCATTCAATATAGTTAACAAATAACTTGATACCCGGTTTAAAAAAAAGAGCATTTCTTATTACGGATGACCCTATTGCTTTTGGTGCCTCCTGAGGTGCTGGTATTTGTTGTGCAATCGAGGTTAAATTTTCCAACCTTCACACAAGTAGCTTGCGATGGAAGCGACATAATATTTATATGTAACTAACTGTTGAACTAATATGTTGTGAAATAAATAATTAATGCATGATTGAACTGAAACTTTAAGTGAAAGCTTAAAATGTTATAACCTGTTATCATTACATGGACTTAAATTTCTAGCATTTCACACAGTGAAATAATTCACCTCGAACACACAACTTACGTCGACACCGAGTGAGGAAGCATCCCAAAAGTGAAGTCAATAACAAACAGTGAAAACGTTCAACATAAAGTATTTAGTTATTTCTCAGTGTCACTGAACAGTAAACTATGGTATGCAGCATAGATAAAATGCAGTTTAACTGAAAACAATTCATAGTTCCTTCTCTCCTCAAGAGGGAAGGGGGCAGGAAGCTGAAAACAATGCTGGAAGCTTTATAGAGTCTTGACCTTTTCCAAGAGTCTGAAATCTTGCAACTATAACCAACAGCAGATAGTAGTACCATGTGGGTGCAAAGCTATAATACATTATCTTCTGCAGAGATGCAAACAGAAACCGCATTCCAATTCCAGCAAGACCAATGTTAGAGAAAGACAGCAAACATACCCACGGACATTGTTTTCGGACGTCATCACATGCAGCATAGCAACATTCAGCAATGTTGGCAAGCGTTAAAAAAATGTAAAAAAACGACACAGATACCTCAGGATTATGAGAGCGAATAAAATAAAAAACCGCCGCTACTGCGACGCGCCATTTCCTCGCGTCGCCCCCGTGTCGATGCCGCCAGCGCCCTCTTCTGTCTGTGCGCCCTCGCTACTCTCCGTGACCTCATTGGCAGCCGCCGGGTCGTTCTCCTTGTCCGAAGCTTCCTTCTTGAGTGTTTTCTCGAGCACGTACGCGTCTGCCGGTTCGATGCGCTTGTAGTAGTGTTCCTTCGTCTCCTTTATCTCAAAGGAGAACCTTTTGTAGAAGTCGATGGCCTGGTCATTGTTAACCTGCACATGCCTAGTGATGAAAAAGAGAAAGATACTATATACGATTTTTTTTAATGACAGACCAAACACTTCACTTGGTAACTCGGCACTGATATATATGGCCTTTCTTGTGTGATTTCAGCTAGTATTTTTTTTATAATTCCAACGAGATTAATTGGTAAAAAACGAGAATGTCTTAAACTTGTGACCATAATAATTATATAAATGATATACATACATAATTATATACACGATATAGGCAGAAAATTGGATCAGAGATGAAACAGTGAATGGCATTACAAATGAATGCATGTGGCACTAAAGTGTTAGCATTCTGGAGTTACCATAACAATAGGCATTGCCTTTTGAGAAAAGGAAAAACTAAAATACAAAGATCAACGACCATTGCAAAATTTAAAATCCATGAAAGAAAAGTGACGAATCATGTACAGATGACTAAAAACATTATTCATGCAAGCCCTTTTCTTCAAACTTACAAGAATATACTGTCTATATTTCCATCCTTGTCGCATATTTTAAAGACATGCTCCAACATCTTATTTCCTGTAGAAGAGAACAAAAGATGCATTTTGAACATGCCAGGAGTGTCCGATTCATGATAAAAAACAAACACCCACACACACGATCTGTCATAATAATTAAATATAAATAAATCGATAACATAAGCCGCGTTCACACGGAGCAATTGTCCAGGGTTGAAAACGATCTGAGACTGACCCGGATTCGACAAGGATTGATTTTGAAGCGAGCGTTCACACGACGTTTGATCGATCAGTTCTAGGACATGGCTCAAGTGGTAAGCGAATGTGGGTCATCGCATAACTGCGTGTTAACGTGGCTATAGCTACAAACCAGGCACCACAATAAACAACTTTACTAATATAATTTTTAACTAATAATCCTTGAGGCACCGTGGATGGGTGGGAAATTATTATTATTATTATTATTATTAAATCTTAATTGCATGTAATTAAAATACAATGTAAAAAACATATTCTGAATCAGCAAGTACATTCTCGCGTAGAAACAAAAACGAACACGAGCGTACCTATTCCTAATCTCCTATACGGCGCGAGACAGCCGAGTGTCATTATGTATAGCTTCCGCGTCTTCTCTGTAACATCCACCCGACAGCACACGGCACCGACGACGATGTCATTGTAAAACGCTGTGAAGACAAAAAGAAAACATGTGTAAACTAGAGGGCACTCACGGAGAGTGCATACCTCCGCCAGCGACATAGCTCGTAGCAGCCGCTCGTTGCTGCTGCTCGCTCACATGCACACGCTTGACTCGACGCGCTAATATCGATCGCGCCAACACACTAACACTGACTGGCCTGCTGCTGGCTACACGAACACACTAACACACGAACGCACAAGACCGATCACATAACCTCCCCTCCAACTCCGTTGGGCGGAGGTAATTACGCACGAATTCAGAACACTATCGGATCTAGAAAGGAACCAGCCTGCACGACATGTGATGACAACAAAGTAGCGGTGGATATATATGCAGGGCGCGAAATTAGCACCGGCATATGCTGGCAAATTATTTGGGTGATACTCCATTAGGAGTGTTCCCAACTTTAATGTTATTAATGTCATAATAACTAGGGCTGTAAGGATACACAAGCCTCTCGATTCGATCCGGTTCTCGATATTAGCCTCTCGATTCGATTCCTTCGATTCGATTCCCAAAATATTGAAATGTTATCTTATTTTTTATATTTTCATTATTTTGCAATAATAAATTATTAGAAATTGCCAATGAATACTAAACGGTGAATAGACTAGAGAGTCTAGAGAGTATATATCATAGAGATGTATACTATTTATACATCTCTATCATGGTATATATACACTGCACAGTCGCTGAGTAAAATTGGTGAGTAACACTCCACAGTATATAGCGTAGTGCCGCCATCTATTGGAGGAAAAAAGTGGTATCGAAATGGAATCGAAAATACGGGGAAAAATATCGAGAATCGGATCGAGGGAAGAGAATCGCGATACAATTCGATTTCGGTGGATCGTTACAGCACTAATTAATAACAGAACTGAACAAATCACATTGGGCTTATTTGAATAGATGCAGATCTTGCGCACTCATAAGAGAGATTCACGGTGGAATGTACTATTGCCTTACTTACATATGTCCTATATAGAGAATTCAAATATGAACATGTATTTAATACCGACCTAGCTTTGCCAGTTCTCCAGCCTCAAGAACATCTTTGTAGAACTTGTCGTTGTAGGAGACGGGAAAGACGACCTGGTTGAGCCGTTTCAGCTGCTTGATGTTATGCGGTGTCACGTCCCCGAGTTCTATACGGCCTCCCCTAGGACAGTAACTGCAATTAGGAAAAAGATTCACTTGGAAATATGCTTTGGAATTGCGCGTCAGTGTTTTTTTTTTATCAGGTTAGCGGTTTGGAAAAACTGAAGTTCCACTTTTGAGTTTTATTGTTTAGATTGATTGTGTTTACTGATAGAAATATGTGTGCAATTAGGATAAGCACACTATGAGGTGGAGGAAAACAGAAGTAGATGCAATGGAAATAGGAATAATGAAAAGAAGTAGTTCATAACACTGAAGTAGTGGAGTATGGACAACTACTGAGCAGATTTCTTGGTGCTGATAGGCCAACGAGTGAGCAATCAATCACGCAGTGATGCGCGCGATACAATCAAATCCTTCATAACCTCAAATCTAATCTAATCAAATTTAATGATTAAATTGCGTGGTTTAGTCAGTAGTTAAACAGACTGTAAGTGTAAAGTGCCACCTGACATCTTAGACTAATCACTTCATCTTGGTCATTTAGCTCGAGCCAATGTTGACTGTATCGCAACTAACAGTAACAGTAGTGTTAGTGGTGCTCATAGGGTCTATCTCCCCCAGGGACCCTGGGGGACCCTGGGGGACCTGGGGGACCAGGGACCCAGGGTACTATCGGAGGGTACCCTGGGCACGGTTCGATATGTCAGAACGTACCCTAGTAGTGGTAACTATCTGATAGTGATATGGTTAGGGTTAGGGTTAGGAAGTAGTCGTAGGCGATTCCCTAGACTCGTTAGTGGAGTAGGCGAGGTACGGTCCGGCCTATTAGATAGTACCAGGGTACGTTCCGATATATCGAACCGTACGCGTGATTTTTTTTCCTAGGTCAATCAAGAACATAGGGCTCTAGCGAGCGCTGCCATTAGTTGATACAAATCACGTGCCTCAAACTATATGGTTTTATGGTGCATTCACTGCATTGTGACACTAACCCTAACCCAAATCATATTTAAAAAAATATATAAAAAATATAATTTTTAATTGCTGTTATTAAAATGTTGTAAATAAATCATGTAAATATTTGCGTTAATTGGAAAAAAATGTTAAACAGATAAAGATAGAAAAATACAGAAAACAGGAAAATAATTAGAAAACGGATGGGATTCGATCCACCAACCTTTCATACTTGACGCTAGCGATGTACTCGCTAGCCTATTGAGTCATATTGGAATTAAGAATTTTGGATGTGCTATGTATATGACGACACTGTGCGACGAAACGTCATTGAGCGACGAAACAAGCTCAACCAATAGCAGCGCTCACTACAGCCCTATGTTCTTGATTGACCTAGGAAAAAAAATCACGCGAACCGTACTCAGGGTACCCTCCGATAGTACCCTGGGGGACATAGACCCTCTCAGCGTTAGTGTACTACTAGTACTACTAGTCTTCGGCAATGTGTCCGGTTTCCAACTCGGCACTGTAGTTGCCTACTGAGTACCGTACTTACTAGTACTACTAGTACTAATACTAATAGTATTAGTAATACTAATACTAATAGTAATACTAATAGTGGTCTAGCCAAATCGAAGTTCGCTGCAGAGTGTTAACGTTACGTTCAAATAGCGGAAAACGCCAATACTTTGCACATTCTACGATGTTATATACTAACCTAACCATCTCGCAGTTTTAAATCCTTCTAGTCGGTCATACACTATAGAAATATAAGAATGAAATAAGGTACAACACTGGTTAATAACTGAAACGATTTTATTTCGCGGCATGGACTGAAACCTCCAGGGTATGCAATGTCATGTAAAATTGATATGTAATTAGTTAAATTAACCAATATAATAAAAATTGCAAGAAATATTATTGTTGGAAAGATTTTACCTAAATATCAGACGCCGTTATTTAGTAGGCTTGTTGATCTAAGTAATTAATTGACAAAATTTGATTCGTCGTGTGCGCGATAAACGTTGGCAGTAGGTAAACATGGCGACTTCCAATCAAACTTTCGGTGATTTTAGTTTGTGGCAAAATGGACCTCAACCGGGAAATATATACAACTTTCCCGGACAGTCAACAAGTTCAGGAAATGACACTCGACAACGAACAGTGTATGCTAATTATCATTAATATCTGCATGTCTTAGAGAACGTATAATAGTTAATGGATTTTAGTGCAATCTCATGTCGCGTCTGTTCTGAATACTCGGCAATATTACTAGTAATACTCAGTAATAGTAATACTAATAGTAATACTTACTAATACTATTAGTATTACTAGTAATTACTGACTCGGCATAATATTGCCTGCGTTTTCCCGTCAGAATAAGTACGTACGTTTATAACGTGAGAGTATCCTCAATGTTTATATACCGGTACTTAACAAATGAGCAATACGCATAAACGCAAATATATAATAATATGTTTACTATATTATTAATTATATATATATTGTAAACAAATTATTACAATAAATACCCATCTATCATACATGTCTATCATACTCGTTATATTAATGCAAGCTCTATCGGTGTAGCGCCTTTGTTCCTGCTGCATGGCACTCCAGGATGCTCCCCCCTGTAGCGGGAACAAAGATGCTACACCGGTAGAGCTACATTATAGCTACAACCGCCCGAACACGAATCGTTCTGCCCTCGTTCCAGGCAGCCGATGACAACGGGAACGTCCGTGTTGGGCGTAAAGTTTGACGGCGGCGTGATGTTGGCGGCGGACATGCTCGGATCGTACGGGTCGACGGCGCGATTCCGCGGCATCTCGCGCGTCATGAAGGTCAACGCATCGACGGTGCTGACCGCGTCCGGCGACTATGCCGACTTTCAGTACCTGAAGTCGATCATGGAACAGAAGGTGTAAGTGCAGTCGATCATAGTATGGGGCACCCTTCTCTACACATATGCACGCACACGCACATACACACATGTGCATATTGACACGCGCACAGTCACACACCCTCGCACACACACCCTCGCACACCACTGTACGAGATATGGGTTTGCCTTGAGCCTACTCTTACGAGCTCTGGTACTCTATATCAGTATTATGGTTACTCTAACTGTAAATTTTACTCAATCATACCCGTCCCCTGAACCTATATCTAACCGTACCCTAGTCCAAAACCTATCATTAAAGTCTTGTGTTGTTTGCTAGGCAGGAACCTGTGATATGTGAATAGATGGGCTAATATTAGGTTGGGAGTTAGAGTTGTGTCGATAATGGATGTCGATGGTCTATATGCTGTGGTTCTAAAGTAGAATTTTACAAGTGTAAGTATAGTACTTTATTAGGAAGATCGTTTTCACTGTACATGTTTATCATGATTTCATGACTGATCCAGAATTGAGGAAAATTGCTTGGATGATGGATTCAAATACACACCCCAGTCAATCTTTTCCTGGATGACAAGAGTACTATATCAGAGGTATGTTCTCACACATATTGGTAGCTTATTCAAATATGGTGAACATAAAAGGCATTTTTTGGTAGAAAAACATGGAAAAACACACTTTAATCAGTACAGCAATCTTAGTATTTTGCTGTTTTTCCATCCAACCCTGCTATGATGGCACCCCTAATGTAGGAAAAGTCATAAACGTGCAGATATAAATAGATCTTGTGCACTTTGCTGGTTATTTTATGTGGAAAACCTCAAACTTTTACAAACAAATTTGTAATTGTGAATTTTCCTAAAAAAAATGAGGAGTTTTTGCTTAATTTCAACCTTATCCATCATATATCGAAGGGTTGATAACGTGAAAGGCACGAGATGCTGTCAGATATTCACTCTCATTAAATGATCTGCATCTGTTTCAGACGTTCTCACCAAGATCCATTGTGGAATACGTACATTGTTGGTGGTCTCAATGATAGCAAACCGTGAGTACAGTCCGTTGTTAACCACTCTATTTCAGTATAGCATACACGGATTTACCTTCCTGGGGGTCGTTGTCAGAAAAAACATCGAAAAGTTAATACTAATGTTAATGCTAAGATAACACTTACGACTAATGTTAATGTACGAGAGGAGCGTTGAAAGAAACACGTCGCAGCTATTAGAAAACTTACGATAACAGGAACTTCATCACAAGGCTGCTGATTGGATGAGAATCGATCACAAAATTCAAATTCATACACATTTATTGTACATCACAGTAATTTATGCATATTATGATGGCTAACCACATAAATAATATTTGATGAAAAAAGATGCGGTCATGAATTTATTCTGCACAACAAGACAAATTCTCACTGTAACACGAGACGCGAGAGTCGTGGCAAGTGTGGCAAACATTTAAAACAAGAGAACAAATGCCATACGCCATTTGTAAATGTATTGTTTTGTTTTATGATCGGTAGATAATTAATGATTTTGACGTGTTTTTCAAGAAAAACACATTTTATTCATTATTATAAAATATAATATCACTATAATTGTAATTCGTAGTGTAAGTGTGTTATTTTCAACTTAATATTAAAGTTATGAGAGGGTCTGGGCTCTCGTAATGTTAAGAGGATATTTTGGAGGATTTTTTATTCTCGAAACGTTGCGATGTTTCTGTCAACAGTTACGAGTGGAAGTTAATGTTAAGACTAATGTTAAGACTAATTTTGTTGCTGACAACGGGCCCCTGAGTTCCAGCAACCAATCCAAATGGATTTCTCCCTTCGTAAGCCGAAAAATCTGCTCAAAATCTAACAAATCTGTACAGATTTGAATAAGTTCATCGCAGAAGCAGCCTAAGTTTACTATAAGATGTATCTCTGTGTAGAAAGTGGTCTTGTACACATGAAAAGTATGGCACACTTTATGGTCATTTTCAAAAAATTGAAATGTGCATGTAGATAAAGATGCATGTACGTAAGAATAAATAGCTGTTTGAGATGGAAACCATAAACGTTCAGATACTTGTTCAGTCTTCATTATTATTTCCTACAGGGGGCAGCACCTTACAAGCGTACATGCAAACTGCCAAACTGCATGCAGTGCCCCTTCCCACACTCAGGATAATACCACTGCCACAATGCTAGCACTATTTTTACAGTGGGCGGAGCTCCGGGGAAATCCAGCAAATGGCAATCCAACGGCCGCGAAGTCGCCGTCGAACATAACATTAGAAATTTCTATGATTTGCATGTTTGTTGGTGGACAAATTTAGATGTTTTAAGCTGAATACGCAAAAATGTATCAAAGACAATGTTCGAGAATAAGGTATATTGGCAATCATCCCAAAAAAATTCATGCATAAATACCCCGTGAACCTTAGTTTCACGTAAACAGGCGTAATTGATTTGAAAGGAGTAAATGCGTGTCGCACTATTGCCGTCATCACTATTTTATGAACATTCTCATAAATAAATACATGTTGATTTTTAATATCTTTGCAGCTTTGTTATAAGTACACACCCTTCTACATAGGACAGACAGTAACGGGGTCGCTGCTAAAACTTATAGTAAAAAAGCCGTAAGAAATTCTTACGGAAATCAGCCTCCCTATGGGCCAGTGCGTTAGAATTGCAGCCACGCAGCGCCACGAGCGCCCATCGCCTCGTCGGAGTTTGCGCAACTGCCATGCAGCTGCCCCTTCCCCACCCACGCGCTGCCTGGCATATATGTTTCCATGCCATCGAAGTTCGCGTGACCTCCAGTGTACTCACGCACGAACCCGTTCGGCTATCTCCGAAGTAAACGATCTGACATGCATATCAGCCTAGCGCTGATGGCCTACGTCACGCCCAACATTAACCTGCCATGCCCAAAAAAAAAAAAAAAAAAAAAAAAACCTTAACCCTTCCCTTAACCCTAAACCCTAACCCTAACTCTCTAACCCTAACCCTAATTAAATTTAATTAACACTAATACTAACACTAACACTAACACAAATAGTTAAATGGATAAAGATAGAAAAATAGAAAATAAAAATAATAAACAGATGGGATTCGAACCACCACCTCAAGAAGAAAAGCTCCGGCGCCCGCCATACGCGCTGCGCTATTTTGGTTTCGCCAATAAATGTGCAATTATGGATGTGCCCTATATGCATACGATGGATGGGCGTGCGTGATTGGTCTATGGTGGTGACGTCACACTGGACGATACACTGACGTCACGCGAAACCTTCGATGCGCATGGAAACATATATCCACCTTCCCACACTCAGGATAATACACTTGCCACAATGCTAGCACTATTTTTAAAGGGCGCGCAGCTCCGGGGAAATCAGCAAATGGCAATCCAACGGCGCCCAAGTCGGCCGCTACCGAACAAAACATTAGAAATTTCTATGATTTGCATGTTTCGTTGTGTGGACAAATTTAGATGTTTTTAAGATTGGAATACGCCACAAAGTATCAAAGACAATGTTTAGAAATTAGGTATATTGCGCAATCATCCCAAAAATTCATGATAAATACATGAACTTAGTTTAGTAAACAGCGTAATGATTTGAAAGTAGTAAATGGGCGCCACTATTTCGCTATCACTATTTTATGAGAAATTTGATAAAATAATGGTTGGATTTTTAATATCTTTGCAGCTTTTATAAGTACACACCGTATTACATAGGACAGGAGTAACGGGGTCGCTGTAAAACTTATAGTAAAAAAGCGTAAGAAATTCTTACGGAAATCAGCTTGTGGCAGTGGTAGAATTGAGCCAGAGCGAGAGCGCCATCTGTCGTGGAGTTTGGCGTACATGTATACATGCCGTATGAACGTGTGTCGTTTGCGTTTTCTGTTCAACTTTGAAATTTACGATAATTATGACTGCATATTGAGTTACAGTTACTGTTTGACAGAGTAATATAGGGCACACTTTGAATATGGCAGCCTTTTTTGCCTGGTTAGCGAATTTGCACAAGTTTGGTTTTGGGTGGTCTTGGCAAACCTTTAATGTATATAGGAAGGGAAGTTCACCCCTTTGGATTTTAGTACAGGATTTGCTTGGAAATTTGAGCACTGTGCATATTAGTAATGTAGTGAAAATCAGTCAACTGACAAATAATTGAGTACATAACGTACATTGTTACCTAATTTGTGCAGTTTTCGTGTAAGTGCATGATATTTGTTAATTAGAAAGTACATGGTCATGTGATAATTGTATTAATTAATTAAAATTTATCAAAATTCCATTTTAGATTCCTGGGATACATCGACAAGCTTGGCACTGCTTACGAGGCAAATGCCATTGCATCAGGCTTTGGTCAATATATAGCGCTGGTAAGAACTTTGCTTTTTTCAAACTAGAATTTGAGATCAGGCTCTATATTTACACTGAGAATGTAGCAGTTTATAATAACCAGTAAGATTTGACCCATAATACTACATAGGACATATTATATTTTATTATTAATGCATGTATTTTCCAAACAGAACTGGTAAGAAGAGCAGTGTAATTCGAAATTTATTGAGATATTATCTCGAGTTAGCTATCTTACCCCGCACATAATTATCCGGTCTGCATCTTAGTGGAATAAAATATGTAGATACTTCTCATAATTGTCTGTTCACTTAGATGCCCCAGTGCAATTATATATACACTGCTCTTGAGTTGTGCCTGGAGAATGCTAATATATATAGGGTTTTGTTAGTGCTCATTACATGTAGGTTGTTATTGTAGTGCTTAATACATGTAGGTGTTATTGTAGTGCTAATACATGTAGGTGTATTGTATGCTAATACATGTAGGTGTTATTGTAGTGCTTGCTTTACATGTTTGCAGCCCAATACTAAGAGAGCTGAGCAGTGGAGCACAAAGCCTCTCCTCACCCAGCAAGAAGCCAGGGAAGCTATCGTGAAGTGCATGAGAATCCTTTTCTACAGAGATGCCCGATCTTTCAACAAGGTTTGTACGTGCCGTGCAGCACCAGCTGCTAGCACTATAGTTTGTGCATTACGAGGGACGTCATTGACATGTGTCCACTGACTCCACTTTTCCGGGACGGGCAGACATGCTACCGGAAATGTGAAAGTAACTAGATGCACTTTTCCGGCAGATGAGGTGGAAAAGAAAACGTTTATTATTACTTATTTAATTTTTATTCTGCTGTGACGGTGTCTAACCTTGGCAATATATATATATATATATATATATATATATATATATAGTTTATTTATATATAGATATATATGTGTATGTATTTTGTAAATTTAACTGTTACAGTTTGAGATAGTCACAGTGACGAAAGACGGTGTAGTCATAGAACCACCACAGTCTGCAGAGACCAACTGGAATGTCGCACATATTTCGTCAAGTGAGTTGATCCGTCATTATTTGTTGGCGTGTTGTGAACGTTTCTTTCTTCTGGGACTGGTGGAGTAGGGTTGGGGTATGATTTTTATAGTATACTAAGATGAAATGCTGGAATGCTAAAAATATTAAACATCAAATAAAATATTAAATAAAAAAAATTACTTTTAAATTATTAATATTAATAAAATTAAATATTAAAGAATATTAAACATCAAGAAGTTAGCCATTAAGGGTGTTTCCGTTTAGGGGAATCATATTTTTATATGATGCGAAAAATACCTGTTACTGTCAGCTGTAAAATTAAAGGAGTTCGTTAAT